CTCACAAATAAATTCATCCACTAGAGTCCACATGACTTGATCAGCTCCCAAAGTTCCAGCTTCCAAATACCATTAACGTGTAACTTTGGGATTACATTTCCAGCTCACAAAATTGGGGGACACATTCAAAGCATAGTAAATTGATAGGTAGACAGAGGGTGGATTTCTTACATGGAATTAGCTTACACAATTAGGGTCTTGCTTAGGGCAGGCAGTCAGTAAAGTGAAAGCCCTAAGTGGGCTGGAACCCATGGCAAGGATAGAAGCTTGATAGTATCCACAGTTTGCAGGCTGGAAGAAGGATCCAGGGGCACAGGACCGCAATTGTTGACCCAGCAGCTACTGGGAGTGTTTCTGTCAGGGAAGTCCTAAACTTCCTAAAGTTTCCAGGTAAAGAGCTTAAGTCAGGTTCACCCAGGATTATCTCCTGTTAATTAACTTGAAGTCAGCTGATTGGGGAGCTTAAATCACATCTGCAGAATTCCTTCACCACAGCACCTGAAAGAGAATTTGACTCAAAGGTCTTTAGGGTATGTGTCTACCTCAAAATGGCTGCTGACTACCTCAATTGAGAGAAAATGTTTCCTGTAGTGATTCCTAAATGAAAACAACTTAGAAAGGGAATTCTGGGGGCCTAGGCAAGTTGACATATCCCAAAGCGGGATGTGTCCCCTGTCCCTGTTCTTTTTTTTTTCTCCCCATAAGTTAAATTGAGTTGGGTTTCTATCACTTGGGGTAAAAAAGGTTCTGATTCAGTTGCCATTGATTTATTGAGTGCTTCACACATATTATCTCACTTCGTTCCCACACATACCCAAATGAGGCAGGTATTATTTACTGTTTTAGGGACTAAGATTCAGAGATGTTATGAAACTTGTCCAAAGACACAGAGCTTCAAAGTCTGTCTTTCCACTGTCCATGCCGCAGTACCAGTCCTTGCCCAAGGAAGCCATCCCAGTTGGAATGCAAATTCCTTATGCAGTTGGAAGCTGACTTAAGCAATTTTTTTTTTCCAGGTAAAAAGAGAAGTCCAAAGCTGATGTACTTTATTCAAGCCGATGACAGAACAAGGCCAAAAAATAGATTTTTATCTTCCAGACCCAATGCTTGGCCTAGATGAATTATTTGGCTGATGGAAGCAATCGTTTGATCTGTTTCCCTTGTTGTGTTTGTGTCTGATTTTTTTGAAGATTATGATTTAAGGTTTTTAACTTTTATTTGGAGGCCTATTCTTACATGAAATAAACTCTCCTACAAATGTCAGCCATCGTCACAATGTCAAACAGATGCTTGAGACACCTCTTGCAAGACTTTGAGTGCTTCACACATATTCAAGAGAAAAAGAAAAGTGCAGAGGAACAACATCAGGTATGAGAGAGGGGGCTGCACTGCAGATTTGACAGATATTAGAAAGATCCCAAGAGGTCTTAGGATGAACTGAATGTCACAAATCCAACAACTTTGATGAAATGGATGAATTCCTTGGAAATGGACACAGTGGGTGAGACCCCGGAGAGCTGAACCCCCTACCTGCCAAATCCAATGGGTATTTGAGATTATGTGATCCCTCTGTGGCATTTGCCACTGCTGACTGCATCCTCCTTGAAATCTTCCTATTTTGGCTTCTGGGAAACATGTTTCTCTATTTAAACTGCTTCCTTCCTCTTCCTTCTTTCTGCTTAATTGCAGAACCCTCTAGTGACTTTCCTTGCCCTTACTCCACATTTACATACAGGGCTTTAACTATCATTAGCATATGTCAATGCCTCCTAACTCTGTGACCCAAATTGCTTGGCTGAGCCTCAGTTTGATCAAATAGCCAGCAGCCATCTGGACAATTATCTATGCTAGCCATTTAATCAACGAGGACCTGCCCACCCTCCCCCTTGAATTTCTTCAGACCCCTCAAACTCAACAATTTCTCTGTCTACTAATAATAACCAGTTATGATTTGGGGCGTCTTCTCCCATTCTGCATCCTTGAAGGTTGGGAACAGCTCTCCCATCCAGACTCCACATGGGCACCCCACAACCTATCCTTCTCACTATAGACCAAGTGCTCTTCCCAACCAATACATCTTATAATGCTGGTTTCAAAGCCTGGAGTCCTCTTTCTTTAACACTCCTTCATTGAGAGGTGGGCTTATCCTTAAGCAGTCTTGTGACTTCTTTGATCAGAGCCCTGCGCCAGTGATAAGATGTGTGACTTCCAAGGTGAGGGCAGCAAAGTCCATGCAGGTTCCACGGGCCCTGCAATGCTCATTCTCTGGAGACCTCCTCTCAAGAAGTTCTCTGTCAGAACCCAGCCGCCATATTGGAAAAAGCCAAGTCATATACTTTGCAGCTGAGCCAGTTTTCAAGTTCTCCCAGTCCAGCTACCAGACCTGAAAATTCTTTTAGAAGTGAATTCTGTGACCCCAACTGTTCAGGCCACCAGCCATTTGAGTGTTCCCAGCTGAGGCTCTGGATACCACAAAGCAAGGAAGAAATGTCTCAGCTGTGGGTTGGCCAATCTCCTGACCACAGACTGTGATCATAAATAAAATGGTTGTGTTAAGCTGCTAAATTTGAGGCTAATTTGTTACATAGCAATAGTAACTGGAACATTCATGTCACTCCCTTGCTTAAAATGTTTCAGTGATTCCCCATCTCCATCAGGATGAAGTCCAAGTTCCTTTAACTCCTGCCCACCTCATCAGATACAGCTCCTGTTCCTGCCCATCCCAGCCCTAGTCCCATACATACTGCAATTCCTGGAATATTCGCTACTTTCCTAGGCTTTCAGACCTCGTATGTGCTGTTACTCTGGCTGGATATCAGGAAGATGACCAGATATTCATGAGATCATCTGAGTATTGTGGGATGCAAATTCATTTCTTTCTCTAAAATCCTCTTTTTTTTTTTTTTTCCAGGAATAAAAATCAAGTGGCTCTAAAACAGTCCAGGTATCCTGCAAAAGAATATCCAAGGAATGTGGGCTGTTTTCTAGATCTTTGAATAAAATAATGGTTATGCAAATGGATTCCAAAGCCAGATTGCCTGCATTCAAACCCCAGCTCTGTCACTTCAAGTAGATGACTCTGTGCAGGCTACTTAATTTCTCCGAGCTTTAATTTCCCAATCTGTAAAATTGGGTAATAAATAATACTTCATAGAGTTGAGGTAAGAATTAAATGAGTTAAAGGGTGTAAGATGTTTAGAATGGTGCCTGGCAGAGAATGCTTGGCTAAATAAGTGCTTGTTTAAAATAAAAGAAATCTGTTTACTCTTGTTCAAGGCCTGCTGAGTGTCACTTTTTTGGAGAGACCTCCTCTGATGTCTCCCCATACTGGCTGGTTTCACAGACAGGTCCATGTTGTTGCAGCACTTTCAGCATGTCACAGCTTGGCATTTGTCACTGCCTCTGTAATTCTAACACTGTGGTTGTCAGTGTCCCTCAGTTCATCTAACTGATTCTTGAAGGCAGGGGCTGAATTTTATTCATTTTTTTTTATTTCCCTAGAACCTGAGTCATAGTAGGCTTTCCATAATGTGTATTAAATAGAATCTTGCTTTGGTTTTACAAATGCAGTAACTGAAGCCCAGGAAAGGCTAAATGAGTTCTTCTAAGCTATACAGGTAATTAGTGGCTAAACAGAAACTAAAACATTTTTTACTGCCAGGCCTAAACTAGTTATGTGTGTGTTAATACCACCACTAACCCCTGGCCATTTGCTTTTAAAATGATTTATCAGACACTTATAAAATAATCTGAGTGCTTTTAGCATCTTCTGAGTCCCTGGACCAATTTAGCATCAATCACTATTATTCTTGAAAATCTTGAAAAAAAAAAAGAGGATTACAGGGAAGGAAGTAGATTTGTCTCCTTCCAATTATTCAGACGATTTGCTGAATATCTGGATAATTCTGAAGCCTTGAATCTTCCTCATGTGAGAGGTTACTTTCATCCATTTAATCTTTCCAGATGCAGAAGTGAAAGAGGTATTATTGAGAAAATTAAATTCCATAGGGGGTCTCCTGCTGCCGTCTGGGACACCGCCAAATCTTGCTTATCTCAACTGCCAAATTGTCAACACCAGACGGCGCTGTGTCCTCACAAAAGACTGTGGTGACCCCCCTCCCACCTCGCCCACCCCCGCCAGCACAGTCCAGGGGATGCTTCTCAACACCCGCACCTCTCCTCTGCAGCAGGCGCACTTCTTTTCTCTTTTCGAATCAGTGCGTGGACCAGAGTGTGTGGTGGTGGTAGTGGAGATGGTGGAGGTGGTGGTGGGTGTGGGTGTGTAGATCAGTGTCTCCTAATCTACACACCTGGCTTGGTGTTTGAAAAGCTGTAGCTTCTGCTGGCAGCTCCATCATGGAACCTGGATTGCTTTTTCTCCGTGACTTGAAATACATTTAAGTCAGAACGAATCCGAGGGTTAGTAGGTACCAGGAGCTACCAGGAGGGTTAGTAGGATACCAGTAGGTATCCCGTGCTCCCTTCGCCCTAGCGTTAAATGCATCCCCCAGAGGACGGGACTCATCCTTGACGCTTTGCCAACGGTGTCAGCTTAGCATGCACGCCTAGTTCGTGCTGTTCCTTCGGCGAGATTTGGGGTTCACCTGTCCGGGGAGGGCGAGGTGTGTTCATCCCACGTGGACAGCCAGCTGTCTTTGCGTTCGTCTTCTCTACTTTCTTCCCTTCGCCCTGATTTTTCATTTCTTTTGAGTGATGCGTTTGGGGGGGAGAGGGGTTAAAAGGGGGGCGGGGTTGGGACCCAGCAGGGAGGGGCGTCGGAGCGCTGTCACAGAGTGTCACGCTGCCCTCCCCGCCCTCCGCCGGGGGTGTGGAGCGCGGCGGAGCGAGCTGCAGAGGGCCAGGCGTGTGGGGACGCGGGAGGGCGGAATTCTCCGGGAGTCGCGCGGCATACGGAGCCCGAAGCCGGCGGTCGCCTGTTCCTGTGCGCTGGGCGGCATCCCGGGCATCGGTAGCCCGGCTCCCGGAAAGGGTGCCTGACCATGGAGACTTCGCATAAAGACGCCGAGACGGCAGCAGCGGCGGCGGCGGTGGCAGCGGCAGACCCCCGGGGGGCGTCCTCGTCGAGCGGGGTGGTGGTTCAGGTCCGCGAGAAGAAGGGCCCTCTGCGCGCCGCCATCCCCTACATGCCCTTCCCCGTGGCCGTCATCTGCCTGTTCCTCAACACTTTCGTGCCAGGACTGGGTAAGACTTGGTAGCTGTGACCCCTGAGATCCGGGGCCAGCCTCAGGAGGGCTGGTAGGAAAGGGGCTGGGCGCAGCTGGAGACACTCCGGGGGCGCCCACCGACTACAAGTGCTGCGCCCGCGCTCGCCAGTCGGTGCTCCCAGTGTCCGCTAGCAGGTGGCAAAAGAGTGTGGAATGGGCACTCCGCAGGAGAGGTGTCACTCCCAGGTCTCCAATCCACAGGCGAGGTGACTGGGCTGGGAAGAGCTAGAAACTTTGTGAGGAACGTTGGAGATCGCGGGCGGTGGCCCCGACGGCTCCCAGGTCTCTGGGCTAGGCTCCTGTCCAGGCGTCGGGAATTCTGTCCCTCCTTTCCGTTTTGCGCACCCATTTAGCAATCCGTCTGGCTGCCTGGTCGGGCCCTGGTGTCATCGATATTCTAAATATTATGCAAGCCCGTTCCTTCCAGGAGAGTGGTGCCAGAGCAGGAAGGGCTCTAGAGCCAACTTGGTGGCTTTTGAGGAGTTGGTGGATCTAGGGGAAGTGGAGGCAAGCAGAGTATAGGGGACACTCTGCAACCCCCTCTGCGTTCGCGGAGAGAGAGCTCTTTAACCAGTCTCTTCCACCTCCTTCCCGAGTGCCAGCACCCCCGCAGGGCGCCAAGAGGATGGTGGGCGATTTTATTAGTTTGGATGCATGTGGGTTTGGACTGCATCTGGCTGGCCAAAGGTGATCCACAGCAAGCGGAGAGCGGGCCCATGTAAGTTTGTGTTGGATTCAGGCTGCCTGGAGGCATTGATATTCTAAATATTAAAAACAGAGGTCCATCACAGAGGTAGTGATGCAGGATGAGTAGAGGTAGAGAATGAGCCTTTTTCCTGACCCTCCCTCCCTCAACCCCAGATCTCTGCCTATACCTCTTCCCCCACCTCCAACTTGACCACTAGCCACTGATCTTGTGTGCAGAGATGTGACCCCTCTCACTGGTGCTGGGGGTGGGGGTGGGGGAGAGGCTGACACCTCTTGCTTTCACCTCTGGAGAAAGCCTGCCCCTGCCGGCTAGCCAATTGCAGCACATGGGTCCGAGTTCCCAAGAGCAGAGGTCAGCTCCAAGTGGTTTTGTGTTTTACTTTGGCCTTTCTCACGGCCTTGCTCTTAGCCAGCTTGAAGGGACCTCACGGAAGTGGTCACCAAGGACATGCCCACCCACAGAGGACCTGTTCATTTTCCCCTTGTCACATATTTGCATATGAGCCCCAGGGGGCTGTGTTGGCCAGGGGCTCTATCTGCTTGAGCAGAAAGTTGAGTAGTCTTTAGTTGGGCTTCCCTCTTCAGACATGCCTTCAGCAACCTCACTCCGTTCCCTTGACCCGATTTGGTGTCATCAGACCAGCCCTTCTGGTACTTTAGAGACTTTCAGGAGGCAAGCTGATGCTAATTTAGTTGTGTCAAAAATTTCTACCTGCTGGAGTAAAAAAAAGACCTCCTTTCATCTCTCTGGAGAATGTAAAGATCATAAGCATCTGGTTTCTACTTTTTTTTTTTTAAGTGGTGAAGTAAATGCCACCCTATAGGCTTTTGAGGAAACAAATGCATTGGTGCCAGATGGGAGTGGTTGCAAAAGTTCCTGTTGCCCAGGGAACCACCCCTGTGGGAGACCTGCCAAGGAGATAGCAGCTGCCCATCCATGCACCTTGCATGCCCAGCTGGGTCTCACTGGCTAGGTACCTTTTCTATCCTTAGCCTAGCTTCAATGACATCATCCATTCAACTCAACCCTGATACGTCCTCCCAGCATCCAGCTTCAGTTCCTTCCCAGTTGGCTTTGTTAGATCAGAATCCCATGGGATTTTAATTAAACACACACATGCGCGTGCGTGTACACACACAACTTTCTAAGAAGCCAGGAGAAAATAAAGGGGAAATAAGCAAACTGCAAAAGTAATGAAACAGGTGAGACATGGGTGTAAAGACTTCTGAATTTTCAGTGACTTAACCCAGGCATTCTTCCCGCCCCCATTTTGCTACAGTATAGTTTCTTGGGTGCACAGGTCCTGTCTCCTGTCCACAAAGAATGTGAACTCCCTGACCCTTGGTAGTGTTTCTTATCTGTAAGTCAGGGATACCTGTCTCTCCAGATTGTTGGGGGGATGAAATATGATTACCTAAAGCCCAGGGTCAGGTGTGTAGGAAGATGACCAGAGATGGTGGGTCTATCCTGCTACTTTGCTCTTCTGTAGAACTGAGCCCTGATCCCATATCCAGGTGGGGGTTGCTGTAGCAGTGGCAGCATTGCTTCTAAGTACTTCTGTTCTTTCTGCTCAACTCTCCACCTGTAGTGGGGAGACCTCAACAGATCATGCAAATCTTGCAGATAGTTGGTGTTTTGTTTTGTTTTGCACCCCTCTCCTGCCCCCCTCACCCCGACTACCTCTGCCTAGGAATGGTTTGAATTGGCGCCAGCTCTTGGTATTCCTCTCCTTAGCCCAGATCTTCTCCAAGTCCTCTTGCCTTATTGGAATATCCAGTGACAACTGAACATCTATGCTGTTTCTGCTCTTTGATGAAATGCTGCTCCTTTCAATGTGTTCACTCATTCATTGGGTCAACACAGACATCCATCATATGTGAGGCAATGGGGTGTATGAGAATGAATGAATCAGTCAAGATGTCCTGGACTGTTAAGGAAAATTGATAAAACTTTGCTGAGTGCTATGGGGGCAGGGAACAGAGTATTTTATCAGCAATTAATTGTTCCTGAGGGTTGGAAAGAGCATCTTCCAGAAGTAGTGATGGGTTAGAACCTTCTGAGGAAATCTATCTATCTTATGACCCCAAACACTTGCCATCCTTACTACAGTCCCACTCCCTGGGAACCATGTAGACCACTGACCCAAAGATTCCTTCATTTTTCTGGAAACTTCCTTCCTTAAAAGTCCTCTCCTTGTTTGCCAATTGGATGACAGAATAGGCCTTTTTTTCCCCTCTGATGTAGGTGTCTCAGGTCTACCTAGTCTTCAGGACCTTGGAGAAGCCCCATCCTTAAAATTCCCCAGATTCTTCTCTATCCAAGCAACAGTACTTATCAGGATAATGTTCATAACAAAAGAGATGTTTCCTCTCCTGGGAAGTGCATGGGAAGGGGAGGTAATTTATGATCATCTGACTCCTCATTGGAACATGACAAACAATTTCTTAAAATGGACTATTGTGAGAGAGTGATCCCCAGCCCTGTTTAGTGAAATTCTACTGATTAAGATCATTGCCAGTATCTTCATGTCCAATAGAAGGTGTAGATGTATATATGCCATTTTTTATGCATGTAATGAAAATTAATTGCTATGCCCCAAAATGGTCATAGAATTTGTCAGTGAAGGATTATAACTGTGCTTCCATATTTAAAAATTATATCTATTGTGATTTGGAAAGACAAAAATGTTGATGACTCAGATAGGGACAGGGCAAGTGGGAAGGAGGACTGACCATTAACCACTCCATCACACTGATGCTGGCCATTAATCTACTGTTCAATATTACACAAACATTTAATCTATCCCTAATACACTGCTTACTCGTTGACACCATTAAAGTCTTGTTTCTCCAGTAACAGCACCATAGGCTGGCTCAGTTTCTATGTCTCTTTCCTTTAGGCCTGAGACTCAAACAGATGATTAATCATGCCTACCTTGTGGCATCTTTTGTATTGATGACCTTGTGTTACTGTTCTGAGAGTTCATTCTTTGCCTAGCTACATAGATTGTAAATTCCTCGAGAGCAGCAACTATTTTAAATTTCTCCTTGAAACAGTTTGCTATAAATGAATACACATTGACAGAATTATACTCCTGGAACAGGCGTTAGAGATCATCTGGTCCAAAGCCTTTTATATAGAAGTGAAGTAGGCCTGAGGATGCGTGGACCAAGCAGGTTTGCCTCCTCTCAACCCTACTTCTGGCAGCCATAAAAAGCAACCCCAAGATGAAATTAACCTAGAGGGCAGTGAGTTTTCATTACAGTGGAAGGATGGTAGGCTCCAGGAAAGAGGTTCTCTGAGGATGACATGAGAAGGTAATAGTCCATATAATAGAGACTATTATTGGGACACTGTGAGAAACCAAGATTGCAATAAGAAACAGAAAGAAAGCAAAACCCATAAGGTAATAAAGATAAAAAAGCTATGCAAAATCATTAAGATCCCAAGGTGAAGCAAACTGCCCAAAGAGATCAGAAGGTTAGTAGGTTTCAAAAAATAATAGGAAGATGCCAAACAATAATTAAAGTGAGGAAGGATTAGGAAAATATTAGGGCTATGATACACAAGGCATATGTTTCTTCTGTCAAAGGGAAAAAGGAAAGGTAGTCATAAACTTCAGGAAAACCGAAAAAAACATTTTTATGAAAGGCATAACTCAAACATGAAGCAATCCAAAATGTGGCCTGATTTGCAGTAAGTGGTAGAATTTAAGATAGATTCTTAAATGCACAGGTCTGTGTCATTGGAACAGTGGTACAGGATATGGGCTCTTTTACTCTGCAGTCAAGAACATTTGCTTAGTCATAATGATATAAATGCTGCTCAGTGCTTTTCAATTTCTAAAGCCAACAGCAAACCACTAAAGACTTCTTAAGAATAGCTACAAAGGAGCATATAAAGATTTCCCACCTTGACAATGTAAAATGAAAAACACAGCTTGCAGAAGTTGGAGAATGAAAGAGGAGAGAAGTGGAACTGTGAGAGAGTAAAATTATTGTTCCCAATTATTCACCGTTCTCCCTGAAAGGGGATGATTGTGCATTCCCACCTGATGCCCATATGGTTTGGCTGCCTCTTGTAGGGAGAGAATACTTCCTTCCTTGCTCATTGATAGCAGGCTTCCCATGTGACTTGCTTTGGCCTATGAAGTAGGAATAGAAGTGGCACAGGACATACTGAACTGACACTGTAAGAGGCATTGTTAGATTCTGCCATTGTTCTTTCTCCTTTTGCAAGAATAATGGCAGGTCTCATAGGGGTACTAT